TCCGCTGCACGAGCACCCGGGCACCGGCGGCGGCTGTGCCCCACGGCGGCGGGCGCTCGGCGCCCGGCCCCGGCCCCTTATCAGCTCCCGGGCGAGGAGGCGCTGAAACGGGAACCGTGGCGAGAGAGGCTGTTGATAAGTCGACATTGAAAATGCCCCGGCTCGGGCCAGCCCCACATCTGCCCAAAAGCTGCTCCAGAGAGAGCGAGAGGGAGAGAAAGGCGAGTGGTGCCCCCCCCCGCGCCCCAATGGAGCTGGGTTATGGGCGATTTGGCCTCGATAAGCCACCTAGAGGCGGTTCTTCCCCACTCCCCAGTGGCCGCCTGCTCCCTCCCCTCTGATCATGTTGACATATTCACACGGCATGGAGCAGTAGTGATGCTTTGCTGCAGCGTTACAGTTTCCGACACCTTCTTTTTATAACTCGGCTCTGTCCCCCTCCACTCGACCTGTCAAAACCACGCCTATGGAGCCACACAATTGGTCCGAAAGCGTCAAAGAGCCAATCAACTAGGCTGCAGCTCCCTTGCAACCCGCGACACATCCATACAATCCGGCGCGAGGGCGAGCACAGACTCACAGGGAATTCTCGGCGCGGAGAGGCTCGCTCCTCTCGTCCTCTCTCTTCCTTTCTCCCCCTTTCTCTCTCCCTCCCTCCCTCCCTCTCTCTCTCTTCCTCCTCTCTCCCCCTTTCTCTCTTCCTTCTCTCTCCCTGCCGGAGCGCGTCGGGGAGGAGGCGAGAGTGTCATTCTTCGCCCTTTCTCTTCCCAAGGCAGAGGGAGAAGGGGAGGAAGGTTGCAAGAGCCGCGATCTCTATTGCGATCGGGACACCTCCGCCGAGCCCCGCGCCGCCGCGGAGGGGGCCACGGAAGCGAGACTCCGCCGCAAGTGCTGGGGCTGCTGCCCGCTCCGCGGGGGCTGGAGACCGGGGGCTTCCCCCTCTTCGCGGAGGGCTCGGCTTCTTCGGTTTCCTGGTTGCCTCCCTTCCCTTCCCAGCCTCCGCTCTGCAGCCTGGCTCTCCGAGGGCGGGCGGAGGGTGGGGGAGAAGGCAGCCCCAAGAATACAACCGCAGAGAGAAAATCCACCTTCCAAGCTCCCGCGGCTGCAACAAGAGAAGAGAAGGGGGGTTGAGAAGAGCGAAAAAGAGAAAGAAAAAGAGGAAAAAAAAATAAAGAGCCCGTAAGCCTCGGCTCCAGCCTGGAGATCTGCTGGGCCAGCAGCTGCGCAGAACTCGTTGGATATTCCCCCCCCCCTCCATCTCTGTGTATTTTCAACTGCAAGAACTTCCACTCAGGAAAGAAAAAAAAAATCACAGTACTAGCGAGCACCTCTGCCGAGGAGGAGCTGCTCTGAGCGATCATGTCTCCTGCCTCGGCTACTCGTAGCCTGTAGCTTGCCCCCGTTTAACGCACTGTGTGTGTCTGTGAATCGCCTCCCCGCTTTTGGTGATTTTCGTTTCATGATGTGTTGCTAGAAACCACTCAAGGACTACTCCAGCGGCAGGAAGAACCAGGGGTGGATGAACATACCGATGAGAGATCCAGTGATCCCTGGGACAAGCATGGCTTATCATCCCTTCTTACCTCACCGGGCTCCGGACTTTGCCATGAGCGCTGTGCTGGGCCACCAGCCTCCGTTCTTCCCGGCTCTTGCTTTGCCTCCCAATGGAGCTGCTGCTCTCTCCCTTCCCGGGGCTCTGGCCAAACCGATTATGGATCAATTAGTAGGAGCGACAGAGACTGGCATCCCTTTTTCTTCCCTGGGTCACCAGGCGGCAGCTCATCTGAGGCCTCTAAAAACTCTGGAGCCGGAGGAAGAGGTAGAAGATGATCCCAAAGTACATCTGGAAGCCAAAGAACTTTGGGAGCAATTCCACAAAAGAGGGACTGAGATGGTGATCACCAAATCAGGAAGGTAGGTCTGTGTGTTTTCAGTCTTTCTTCCTCCCCGCTCCTCCCCCCCACGCTGCTCCGAGCAGTCTGCTCGCCAGCCACTTCCTCCATAAAACTTGCTTCATCTGGAATTATGAAAACTTTCAGACCGTTGAAGTTCGGGGTTTCTCTCGGAGACTGCACTGCAGGGAAATATTAAGCTACTGAACCACGAATAGCCAGTGTTTATTGCTTGTGTGTGTGCATGGGTGTGAGCGAGCGACTGTTCATGGTTCAATAGTTGAGCGCCTCCATGTAACACTAGCAGCAGAAAGAAAACCATTTGGGGTGAGGATTTGAAGGGGCCTGATCTGGGCTTTACATGTTTTCTTTCTCTGAAAAAAAAAATAGGGGAAAGGAAGAACAATCTAAGAAGGGCATATCTCTGCTTTAGGGCAGTGAGTGCAGGGAGGGGGAATGAGATAAATTCGCTTGCCTTTAGCAGTGGCTTCACTTACGCCTGTTCCTGCTGAGACCTAAGCTTGCATTTGTGCTGACAAATTGCGTGTGTAAATACACCGACAAACTGAAGAAAAGATCAATTCATTTTACATGCACTGCCGAGGTAAAGGTTTCTGTCCCAGGAAAAGCTTTCTACCCGCGTCTGGTATCTAATGGCCACTGTGTGCATGTGGCTATTTCCTTGCCGAATGCACACGCAGTGTAGTTGAAGTGTGCGCGGTTGAAATACACAACTAACAGGCGTGCCTACTTGCAGTGAGAGCTACACGTTTAATTTTATTTATACACATACATACATACTTACTTATATTATCTGTACTGCGTTATGTTTTATTATAAACACGTCATATAATTCATGTGGTCTGCACAGCAGATGCCTAATGCAGCCCATTTCTGAGAAGGGTTCCTGTAACTCCCGCAGCAGTGATATTTTAACTTGCAGATACTTCTTTTTTTTTTTTGAATTGCATCAGTGGTAGATTGCAGAGTCACTGACAACCGGGGGGCAACACTTCTCCTGTAGACATTACCGCCCTCCCCACTTTTCTGTGTTGATTGTGGTCAAACTTTTGCGCGAAGGTTTCAGAGAGTTTGAAGCGCTTTTTTGTTGCAAAGTCATGTGTTTCCTTTTAAGTTCGGGTTGCTGAATGCCAACCCCTCGATATAATAAACAGCAAATTTGTGGTATCCTGTTGCAGTTTCGAACTGGACTTAGGAGCATGGGGGGATGTGGTTTGCAGAGAGCACTGCAAGGAGACGTTATCATGCAGCGAAGCCTTATTGGTGTCTGAGTCTCGCACTTGCATACAACACCGCGGTCCCACTCCCAGCATAAATATTTTCCTCTCTAGTACTGCAGTGACTCCAGACTCCGGACATTTACACAGAGAACCACACTGTTCCCATGTTTCTTTGTTAAGCAGTGGGGTGGGGGGGATACAATACAGAATAGATCCAAATACCAAATTGGGCGGTAATGTTTGTGGGAGGGGGAGGGTAGGTTGGCGAAATACGCAACCCCGGGAACATGCTATTTGAGGGGAAAAAATTCTCCAGAAACTCCTGAGCCGTCGGAGGTTGCGGGGTGGGGGGGTCTGTTGGGGCAACCCAAATAAATCGTGTTTATTTCCGAGCTAGGCTTTTCTCATGCTGAAGCGCGGAAGTGTTGCTGGGAGAAATGGTGTCAGAAGCCAGGAACTTGCTCACATTGTGATTTTATTTTGTTGTCTTGTCTCTTCTCTATCTCCCTTTTCACGACTCTGTCCGTAGGAGAATGTTTCCTCCATTTAAAGTGAGATGCACTGGGCTGGATAAAAAGGCCAAGTACATTTTGCTGATGGATATTGTGGCGGCTGATGATTGTAGATACAAATTCCACAATTCCCGGTGGATGGTAGCAGGCAAGGCAGACCCTGAAATGCCAAAGAGAATGTACATTCACCCGGACAGTCCGGCCACGGGGGAACAGTGGATGTCCAAAGTCGTCACTTTCCACAAACTGAAACTGACTAACAATATTTCTGACAAACACGGATTTGTGAGTCCCCTTTTCATATCCATTCTTCTGTGGTTCTCTTGCACTCCCTCCCACAGCCCCCGTAGCAAAACTTGCTAGAAAACCGAGCTCGGAGTTTGCAAAGAGCCCAATGAGAACAGCTCTTCAGTATGGCACAAAGCCTCCAAAATCAGTGTTCCCACGGACTGGAACTCGGGGCAACAAGCGGATAGATTATTTAAAAAAAAAAATCAAGCTCCAGCCCGTGGTATCCACGTGTCCACTTTATAATATCACTCCTTTATTTCCCTTCTATTAAAGCCGCTTGTAAATGGGTGGCGTTTACCACTAACGTTTCCAAAGCTTTGGCCGAAGTGAACTGTGCAGCCTGTTACAAGCTTGGGACGTTCAGACATACTTTAGAACCACGTTGCATTTAAAATGATCGCGCTTTTCGCCCCCTCTTTTAACTGGGCCATGCGGTCGGTATCTCTGCCGAGAGTTTGCACTTTCCTGGAAATGCAAACAGTTAAATACAAATTAATCGGGATATCAGAAGGGAGAAAATGAACAGGGATCAATCCGAGAGGTCAGGGTGCCCGCTGGTTTCTACCCACCCCACTGCATTTCCTGGGTGCGCAGCGACCAAAAAAAAAAAAAAAAAAAAAAAAAAAAAAAACCC